TGTTCATCATCCGAATTATTTATTCCCCTACTTATTTCCATATCTCCTATATTTTCATCACTGTCCCCGGACCTTTCCTCATTTTCTTTACCAATTTGTTCCCCACCTAATTCGGGAGAAAAACTCCATTTGCTAGTAGCAAAAGACCCTGAAAAAAGTGCCCGTAACTTCTCTAGATGAGGCAATGGTCTCCTTAGGACTCGCAGGCAGACCTTTATGTTTCTGCATAAATGCACAAAACTTCGATTAAATAAATTTTAAAATAAACTAGTATTGTAGAGGTCATAATGCAACAAAATGGATAAATAAAATGTCGTACCTTCACAAATATATTCCACCTATCATCTTGTTCAACTACAGGACAACCAGTAATAGGATCAAATGTAAGACCGGTCCAATTGAGTTCCATTTCATTCCAATTTTTGAACCTTTTCCTTAAATCATCCCAATGATTTCTTGCTTGTTTAATGTTGAAATTCTTCCCACTTTTAACGTTCAAAGTACTCACTATTCTATCCCAATTAACCTTTGATAGTCCACCTGCTTTCATCTCCAAGCATATGTCCAAAAAAAATTCTGTACTGTCATCAGACCATGCTACCCTACCAGCCATTACACTACGATCAAGAGCACTTTAAAATTATTAGTTTCATGCATGAAGGATATAGATAATCAAAATAAGTACATAAATATATACGTTATGTTTCTTCTTCATCAAAAAATATATACGTTCCACTTCTAACATCTATTGAGAAACTAGGACCAAATAACCAAGGACATAGATTATCATCAAATTGCCCATTAGCTGAGTTGGTTGGTTAGAGCGTCGAGCTAATAACCCCAGGTTTGATCCCTGCATTGGCCATATTTTTGGTTTTCTCACAATCCTCTTTCTATTATTTTGCAATTTATTTTTATTTAAAAAAAATAAATAAATAAATGGGTTTTCAGAACTAGTGGCGTAAATTGTAATGGTTACATCACATCAACCGCAAAGTTCACGCAAGCACAAAACAAGAGTTTACCGAATTTTATAATTTAATTTTCCATTCCTCTTCAATATAACAATTTCCCTAAAATTAAAAAAAAAAACAACCATAAAAACCCGAAAACCCTAATTCCCCTCCCCTTTCATTTCTCTTTTCTCTTTCCTCTCCTCTGCCTCTTTTCCCTTTCTCTCTCCTCTCCTCCTTCCTCCTTCTCCCCGTAATATCTCTTTACCTTCCTCCTCTGATATCTTTTCCTTCTCCTCTCTATTTTCGATTGAGTTCTCCTCCTCCTCCTTTTCTATTCTCTCTCATCAACCACTAACCAAGCCGCCATTAACGAAGCATCTATTGTCATTTTTAAAGGTTTTTAAGGTCAATTTCGACCAAGAAAACTCTAAAGCTAGAGGTTTATTGGTCGAATTTGGCCTTATTAACCAAGTTTGAGGTGAAGTTCGAACCTATTTCAGATTTTGAGGTAAGATTTCATGATTTTAATTTTTTTTTTTTAAATTGTTGAAATTCGATTTTTGGTTGGTTTTTGTGGTAGGTTTTGGACGGTTGGGGTGGTGACGGTGGTGGTTTGGGAGGGTTGGGAATGCCGAGGTGGGGGAAGGTGGTGGTGGGGATCTGGGATTTGTGGTTAATTTCGAACGGTTTGGGTGTTTTCGGGGGTGGTGGGTGCGTGTGGTGGGTGCGTGTGGTGGGTATGTGCAGTGGGTGTGTGCAGTGGGTGCGTGTGGTGGGGATGGGGGGGCTGGTGGAAGGGTTGGTGCGTGTGGTGGGTGTGTGATGAAGTGATGATTGTAGACGAAATTATACTCCGTAACTACGTAGTATGTAAAATTATAAGTTCAATTATAATTATAAGTATTGAAGTATTGTATCAACTACACGTAACTTCCATCAAGTTATAAGTTCAATTATAAGCTCCCAAATGTATACTTCGTATGTATGTAAAATAAATTCTGAAATTATTCAACTGTATACTATAGACGCCCAACAGATGAAGTGATGATTGTAGATGAAATTATGAAAATATAATAAAAAAAATAACAAAGAGTTAAGGTATTTACCTGTCGACGAGATTGTATACGAGCAAGCTACTACAATGACCAACAGAAGGACAAAATTTGGGAGAGATTGATGTGTTGTAGGTAAGAGATATTGCAATACGAAAAAAATATATATATACACAAAAAAAAACTGTAGTACCAAACTACCAATACTCCCAATTAATATTTTTGTCACCCAATTCAGATTTCTAGAATTGACTGACAGTAAAATTACAATACCGAGAAACCCAATTCAGATTATAAAAAAAGTAATTCAAAATAAAAAAAATGGTGAAGAGTAGCAACAATGGTGAAGAGTGTAAAGTAAGCACAAAAAACAGAGAGGAGAGAGAAAGTATGAGTACAGAAAAAGAGATAGACAGTTGTTATGGGAAAAAAAAAAAGCAAGGTCAAAATCTGAAAAAGTGAAAAATTAAAGAACAGAAAACAAAGTAAAAAAATAATTAAATCATTCCAAAAGGTTAATTAAAATAAAAATCATTTATATGCTGCATTTGCTACATGAATTGAAAAGCTAAACTTATATAGCTGAAAATAAGGTTAATTATGAATCATTTTCCTTACCTTACTTGAAGTTAAAAACATATATGCGTGTAAGTGGTCATATTCGGACTTGATTTACTCGAATAACATACAATCCCATCGTTTATTTATCTATTTATTTATTTGTTACTAATGCATCAAAAAATCTTAATTTTTTTGGAAAAGAGACCAAAATTGACCCATTATCACTCTCTCTATGGGTTGACTACGTGAGAAAATAAGGTGGTCAGAGTGGTGATAGAACTCTTTGCCTGAATAAGCTTAAACAGTGAAGACTGAAGAGTCGTAAATTTCATGACTGTTGCTTATAATTTACGCATTTTTAGCCTTAACCTTGGTCTGCAAGCAATAGCCTAGGGTGACCAAAAAAATTAACAGTACGTACAATTACATTTATGGGTACTTGTGTGTTTTCTGCCCTAAAATTGACCACATTTATTATGTTGTGATCATTGAATAATTCTATCATCTTTGATTCTTTGAACATACATACATGTTCAGAATTGATTCCTTAGTGACTAAACCATCTATACTAGTGAAATTGATATGTACAAATTTTACGAGTAGAAATCTCGCGTTTGATCTTAATGAATGAAAAAATGTAAATGTTTCTTTTTTAACTTGTTTATATGAACCCTAGCGACATGAATTCCGTAGCTACATCTGCTGTATTTTTTCTATAATCTTTCTTCATTAGGGTGGTAATGATAATTTCAAGTTTATGGAGTTGTTTGATTTGTAGAGTACGTGTTCTTAGTTTTAGTTTTGCAATTTGGTCTTACAATTCTCTACTCTATAGTTCAACACTTCAACTCTTATACTACGTACAATTTTACCAATTTTATTTTTCACACTATTCCAAACCTTTATCACTCAATTCCAGTGATTCCACGCCTTTTCTAAACTCAACCAAACAGTCCACATTTTTATGGGTTCTGACCTTATGAGTACTTATTTCTTTTATAAGATTAGTATTTCTTTCTCTACAGAAAGCCAACCCTAAATGCCATAGACTAACGACAAAGTTGTTTTGGTTATTTGGGCATTTTAATTTTCAATCGGACACATTTTCTACTTTTGGAATTTCACAAATAAATTATTTTATATTTTATAAAAATAGATGTTCTATAGCTTATTGTGATACTTTTGGAGTATCATTCACACCATAATCTAGTTAATGGTTAATTATATAATATGATTATATGTTTTAAACAAGTGATGTTAAAAACTAACTTGATTTGAAACAACTAAGAGTGAGTTAGTCTATTATTTGATCAACTCATTGTAATTTGTAAAAAGTCAACAATTTCGTGCAATAGTGTGTGTAACCGTGTAACACCAATATAGTGCAAACAACTCATGCATGAAACAACATTAAAAAATGTAGTACCAATCTATTTTGTACGAGTATCATTTTAATTTTTTTTTTGGCACTTTTAATTTACTTACGGAGTGTAATTCGTGCGTGACCCAAATCATGTCTTCCAAGTTTCAATAGAGGAGCCTAGCGCTAACATGGGTCGGAAGAACCTATGAGAGGTTCCAACTCGGTAGAGTCTTTTTCTGTATATAAAAAAAAAGGTTCAATAGAGGAACAAATGAATAAAAAAACACTTAAACACCCTAAACAAGTTAAATATAAAAGCTTAAATAAAAAAAGGAGAATGAAATTTTAGAAACAATTCAATTAACAATAATGATATTATTATTATTATTTAATAATAATATAATATAATATAATATAATATAATATAATATAATATAATATAATATAATATAATATAATATAATATAATATAATATAATATAATATAATATAATATAATATAATATAATATAATATAATATAATATAATATAATATAATAGTAATAATAATATAATAGTAATAATAATATAATATAATATAATATAATAATAATATAATACAATATAATATAATAATAATAATAATATCATATAATAATAATAATATAATATCATATAATAATAATAATAATATAATAATAATAATAACAATAATAATAATTAAAAATTAATATTAATTAACATTAAAAGTAGAATATTGAAATAATTAAAATAAGGTCAAATCAGAAAAAATAAGTTCAGATCAGATCAGAAAAAATAAGTTCAGATCAGATCAGATCAGAAAAAATAAATTTAGATCAGATCAGATCAGCTAAAATCAGGTGAACTAAACAACCTCTTAATTTGCTTCATTTTGCTTAGTAAAAGCTAATTTAAAACTAGCTTTCACTTTTTTTTTTCAATCACAATCTGCAAGCATATTTATTTCATTTTAAAAAACCACATTAATTATATATTGAGAAATTTTCTGAGCATCTCAGGCCAATCAGGAGGAGGATAGAGTTCTACACAAACTGCATTGTATAGACCTCTAGAACAAATGACGGGATTTCCATTATCGCTAGTCTGACAGCATGAGACATGTACACAATTTTCACGCACTCGGGCGCAACCGCGCAACCTCGCCGTCTTTGGCGGCTCTTCCACTATTTCCACCACTTCTTCTTTTACAACCACCGGTATAACCTTAAATTTTGTCCCATTTCCATCTTCTTCACCTCAGCTAGTATTTCTTGTTTCTCATTTTTGGTGTTTTCCATCCTTCCCCATGTTGGCACTACATGTAAATCCATATAATATAAATTAGTTACATTAATATATGTTATTGTAAATATGTAAATGTAATTAGATAATATAGTTATGTTCTTAATGCTTTTCGATCAAATTTGTTTATTTCTATAATATATTACTAAATTCATTTATTATTACTTAAACAATAATTAAAAAAAAAGACTAATGTGAAATAGTGTTAGGGCCTGTTCTGATTGACTAAACGGAACTGAACTGAACATTTTATGAGAGAAGAAAATTAAGAACCGAATTGAAAATAAGCTGAAAAGAACAAACCCTTAATTTAGTTTGGCAGTTCGATTCCTAGTTTAGTTGGTTAACAAATTTAACTAGGAATCAAACTGCCAAAGTATAATAAGTTAGAAAATATACATTAATGCAATGAACCTCAAAAAAATTTAAATTGTATGATATAACTGATGATAAAATACCATACTGCAAACAATATTGTATGAAAAATTAAATGAGTTTTAGGCATAAATGAATTGAACCTGCCAAAGAGGTAGTCACGAGCAAAAAGATGGCAAGAATATTCAATCTCTCCATTGTTTAGTGGTTTTATTTGTAAATATAACCTTGAGAGTTGTATTATATGGCAAACAAATTGGCCATACTTATAACGCAAAAAATTACCCTCTCCGTTTAAAATTAATTGACATTTTAACCTTTTTCACGTACTACTTATACATATTTACTTTGACTACACTTTCCGATCCCCCACCTAAAAATGTAGTAAAAACAATCTTTCTCAAAAAATATGTAATAACTCTACAAAACTGATAAAGTAACCCCTATAACATAGACGAAGTAACTCCATAATGAATGTTCACATTGAATAGCCAGCCACATTTAAGAATTTGTCAATATTTTATTGTGACTTATAGATCTGGGATTTCAGCAAGAAAGGAGGTTGACATAGGGTTGTCTAGAGGGAATGACAGACCCTTAGACCTGCCGATGTGTTAATTTATTCATGGAATAGTGGTCGTGATGTATGTGTCGACTTCACAGGATCTTCTCCTTTGACACAAACAGGGCTATCTAACTTTAATTTGTTCCTGGACGGGTTGTGGCTGATGCGGCTCATCGGAAGCGGATTAAGTATGAAGCTCGTTGTCGGGTGATTGAATATGGTTTCACTCCTTTCTCCTTTTCTTCACTTGGGGAATTAAAGAAGGAGGCTGTTGCGATGCTGAAGCAGATTCAGAGGTTCTCGACGACGCAAGACATTGGGGCTCGTGCTGCAGCTCATATCTTCATTAGGGTAAGCTTTTCTATAGCTAGAGGAGTGGGGCCCAAATTATATCTCGGTTTTCCACTAATTTACCGTAGGTTGTATGACTTTTAATTTGTAGGTTGTATGACTCATGGTGTTAAGTTGCTTGGGGGTCCTGTCAGTGCGGATGCCTCTTTCTGTGGTGAGCTTGTTTCGCAGAGGGTGTCGAAGACCATTGTGCTCATGGATGCTGTTGCTAAGCTTGAGGATCCCCAATGTGAGTTATTACTTCTTCGTGCGTGTACTGGAGTTTCAAAACTCTACTTTTCTATGCGCACTTGTCCTCCTCGTCTTTTTGAAGCGGCCCAGATTTCTTTTGATGTGGCCCTTCGAGGTTCTGTGGAGCGCATTGTAACTGCTTCGGGGCCAGGTTTTGGTGATTGGCAATGGCGCCTTGCCACCTTACCTTTTTCTTATGGAGGACTGGGTGTCTATTCAGCGGGTGATGTTCGACACTATGCTTTCCTTGCGTCGCGTTTGCAGTCTTCTGGTCTACAGGCTTCGCTTCTTCGCAATTCTGGTATTGTTGGTCCAGGTCCGGCCTTCGACGACGCTCTTAGTCTTTTTAATAGGACTGTGGAGACTGACCTTTTGCGTTACCCTGGTGAGATCGCTGCCCCCAAACTCATGAAGAAATTGGCAGATATATATTTCACGAAGGTCACTGCATCTGCAGAATCCACTTTCTCCTTGTCTCCGCGTCAGGTTGCCTTATGGAAGTCCCAGCAGGGGGATTACTCTTCTGCCTGGTTGCTAGCGGTCCCGATATCAGGTCTGGGTCAGACTATGAATGGTAAGACTTACCGTTGTGTTCTTTGCTACCGGTTGGGTGTTCCCTTGTTCTCCGTATCGGCACCTTGTTCTGCTTGCTCAAGAGTTTTTGATGGGGATATTTATGGGGATCATGCAGTGTCTTGTGCTGGGATGGTGGGTATTAAATATCGGCATAACGTTGTTCGTGATACCCTTGTTGATATTTGTTTCCGCTCTGGGATTTCTGCAAGGAAGGAGGTCAACGTTGGGTTAACTGGAGGGAACGAAGGGGCTCTTCGGCCAACAGATGTGTTTCTTAACTCCTGGGATAGAGGCCTAGATGTATGTGTTGACTTGACGGGGTCTTCTCCATTGACTCAATCTGGGTTGTCTGACTTCGTTCCTGGTCGTGTTATGTCGGCTGCGGCTCAGCGGAAGCGAGACAAGTATGGGGCGCGTTGCAGGGCTATTGGCTATGGTTTTCTTCCTTTCTCCTTTTCTTCATTGGGGGAATTAGAGAAGGATGCCGTTGCGTTGCTGAAGCGGGTTCAGGCGTTCGCTAGGACTCAGGATATTGGAGCTCGTGCGGCTGCTCACATCTTTAACAGGATTGGGTTCGCTATAGCTAGAGGGGTGGGGGCCCAGATTGTATCTCGGCTCCCCACTAATTTCTTGTAAATCTTTTGACTTTGTAGGTTTTTGTTATTTAATAATAATAATAATAATAATAATAATAATAATAATAATATTTTATCCTTTTTTTTAAAAAAAAATGAGTTAATTGGTTAGTCTTCTAACAAACTCCTACTTCCTCTGTTTTTTTTAATAGTTGCAACACTAAACTTTTTCACGCTTGGCGATGCATGTTTTAAATCGTTAATATCTTTGATTACCAATATGTAAAAATTATAAATTTTAGATATTAAAATTATACAAATTGAGGCGAATTTAACAAGATCCCACATGACTATATATTTATTTATGTATAAATCATCAAAGCTAGTCAAAGTGAAACACATGAATAATGTAAAAGTCAAACTGCTGCAACTATTAAAAAACGGAGAAAGTATGACTTTCATGTATTGAGGATAGTCATATTGTCATTGTGAAATATAATATTTTATATAGAGTTGGGCACGCATAGAATATATGCCGTTACAACTTACAAATTTAACACAAGCCAAGAAAAAGTTGTGACTTGCTAGGCTCATGCTAATCTTCCATAAACTTATTGTACACATAGCCTGGCCTAGGTAGCCGGCATGTTGTGTTAGCAAAAAGCAAACCCTTGATATATACACTTTGCATTACACAAGATAATAATTTTGAGGGTTTTTTTTTGTCAGAAACTACCTAATAAAATCTAAATTTTGTGAGAAATTACCAAGTAAAAAATGTTATAAGACACTATCTAATAAAAGGTAAAATGTTGTAAGAAACTACCTACTGATAAAAATAAAAAAAACAAAAGAAGTATATTGTTGTTTATTAGGTTTTGTTTTGATACTCTGTATAAAATAAATACATGACGTGAAATCTCTTTTTATTGGCGAGTCTATTTTACAATGATGGTGTCTGATAGGCTGCCTTATCCTTACCTACCAAATAAAATGTAACAATGAATGTAGGCTGTATCTTGTATTATACGTGTGCCTTGGGTCTAAGCTAGGCTCACTGATTGAGCTCACTAAAAACATGCAAATGACCAAGCCCACTAGCCAATTTGCCAAAAATCAACCTGTACGCCCCAACTTTCACCGGTTTGGTGCAATGGAAAATTTGGAAGTGGTCCTATGTAGTGGTGTACCGGTGTGTATGGATGTAGAGGCAGGGAATATATTCTGAATCGAGGTAAAACCATAAAAGGGGCAATAGTGTAATTTCAAGTGGCAGTAGATATTAATTTTGGATGGATGGCAACTAACTAATTTTGTGGCAATCAACGACGGATCTAGAAAATAAATATAGACCAGGCAAAATCTTTAAAGTATATTCATATGTCAATCTAGCTTTAGATTTCTATCACAAAGAATAATAAATAAAGAATAGGAAAAATTGATTCTAATAATCCCACTTTTAGTCGGTTCGCTATTAATAATCCCACATTTAAATTATTATTTAATAATCCCACCTTTATAAGGGATCTTCTTCTGTTGGTCCCTATCCTGTTGATAACCGGTTTTTACAAGTTAATATGCCATGTGTCGTGTTTAAATTGACTGAAAAATAAAACCTAAAATAAAATGAAAAAATAAAAAACAAAACAGGAAAAATAAAAAACAAAACTGAAAAAAAAAGAAAAAAACCCACCAGCCACCTCCTCGGCTCCACCCACCAGCCACCTAACCTTACCTCAGCCCACAAAAACCGGCCAGCCGCCACCCATACCCCTGAAAATGGCCGGCCGAAACCCCCCATTACCGAAAACCACCCCACCGAAACCACCACACCCACCACCGACCAAAATCAACCCCCAAAATCATCCCCTAACCCGAATCCCATCCCCCGAAACCACTTCAGCCACCACCCTAAAATCCCACCCAACCGCCGAAACCCCCTCTACTCGCCGACAATGCCCTAAATCGCCGAAAACCACCAGAAATCCCTGAAACTCTTACCCAAATTCAACCTAAAGTCATCTCTTGAAATAAATCCATTGTTTTTTTTTATTCCTTGAAATTAAGGGCTTTGATGGTTTTCATGGGTGAGGGTTGGAATCGGGCCAGTTTTTGTCGGGGAAAGGTGGGAATGGGGTTCAGGTGGTGGGGGTGGGGGTTCGGCGGTGGAGGAGGGGCTGCCGGAGGTCGGGGTTAGGGACCTTAGGGTGTTCGTTGGGGCTGGCTTGGTTTTTTTTTTTTAAAAAAAAATTAGGTTTTTTTTAACCATTTTTTTTACCAATAATTTAGTGACATGTGTCACTCAATTTTTTTTTTTTTAAAAAAAAGTTTACACGTTGTTCAGGTTACCGGTCACGAGGGACCAATAGAAGAAGATCCTCTATAAAGGTGGGATTATTAAATAATAATCTAAAGGTGAGATTATTAACAGCGAACCGGCTAAAGGTGAGATTATTAACAGCGAACCGGCTAAAGGTGGGATTATTAGAATCAATTTTTCCTAAAGAATATTTTAATTACATATTTATATTTTCTTAAGCCAAAAAAAAAAAATTTAAATGAAAAAAAAAGAAAAAGAAAAAGGCTGAGCATTTAGCAATAAATGTAATAAATAGCGTGGACCAAATTAAATGTTGGGGAAAAAAATCTGGTAATTGTGGGCATTAGGTTTCGAACTCTAGACACAAGGGTTTCATGGTTAGTGATCCATCCAACTCAACCTAGTTATTTCTAAGATGTACTAATACAACGTAGATTAATTATACTGATTTTGGATCATGGGTCGGGGAGGGCCATAGCCTGGGCTGGCCACCCCCTGGATCCGTCATTGGTGGCAATAGTGTAATTTCAAGTGGCAGTAGATAAGAATCCAAGTGGCAATAGAGGTAAAACCGTAAAAGGGGCAATAGTGTAATTTCATCTGTCCTTAGAGTTCGAGCATGTGTACTAAAA